GAAAACACCTCAACGAGGATTTAGCCTCTAAAGGGATCGTCGTGTTGCAGCAATCGCCTTATTCAACTGATAAGTCACCCTCTGACTTTTTTTTGTTCCCTATAATAAAATCGCTGATCAAAGGAATCCATTTTGAGTCGATTGAGGACATCCATCTGAAATCGTTCTAAAGCTGCCCAAGAGGACTACTTTGAAGGAGTTGGCAGATTTGAAATATACGGTTTTTATGGTATCAGTCTGATTACTTAATTGTCACACCTCGTAGATATGCTAGCAAAAATATTGTACCATAGGTCCGGTGATACCAGAATGTTGACCCGATCACTCGGTTTCACTACCCATTCACTAGGCTTCCTTTATAATTTTCTATAACTTACCTTGACATCAGGTCTCTATCAATCAGGAAGTACGGAGTCAGAGACCAATTGAAGCCTAGTACTACCTAGCGCCGGGTGGTTGTCTCAAATATGATCACTCTTTCTTATCGTTCTGGGCAGTGGGTCCTTTTTTTAAACGAGCTGTGCTCCCCTTTGAGAGAGTAAATTTTGCTTGACGCGTATCAATCTCAAATCTAATGAATATGTTTAGATGTTCTGCGAATACCATTCATAATGGGGCAGATGTTCATATCTTAATTCAGAGCATACAATAGGAGTCTCCTCAACTTTACCTACACCATGGTCATGTGAACATGAAATAAGAACACGCTACGAGGCCTGCCAGGGTCGTAGCGAACCATTAATAACAGTTTGAAACTACTTTAGTTATGAGATAGTGTTTCAGTACTCGAAAAGTCATAGTCTTCATATTCTTACACGACTATTGCCAAATCAGTCAGTCAGTCAGTCTTTTCTTCATACTGCCAAAACCAGGTACCATTTCCACCAACTCCACTCTTCCTTTGCTACCAACAGCAGGACATTTGATCGATAACTGAAACTAGATATTCGCACGGACAATGTGACCTATTCAGCCTACCTATTCCGAATCACCTGGCTACCGGCTCATACCAAGTTCAGAAAGCACTCTGTTTCTACTATCGGTCCACCAAAAACCAATTACAGTTCGCAAGTGCTTCGGAAACGCTATAAAAATACGTCGTGATAGAAAGAGTCGTGGACTGCTGGCCCACAGCAATTCGTAGAAGACCAAAACGGTTATTTGCACTCACAACTGAAGGTTCCAGCTGAAGTTTGATTGAGTTCTTCTTAATTTTAACTCTTCAGACAAAATTTCCGTGAAGAGAAATTGAGTTACTGTGTGTTGATACTCTCGGCAGGGCCTGCGACTTAGGTTGGATTTTCAAGACCAGAAGAAAAAAGGTGTTGAGTTGAGTGGAGTTGATGCGGCTGCTGTACACACTATGATACCACTAAGGCTCCTGCTTTCACCTTCTCAGATGATTGAATCATTTCGTGTGCCTTATAAATGCTGAGGCTGTTAGCTGAGGGTGTTAGATGACACGACAGCCAGGTCTACCCACCTTATAGATCAACTGGTTAGTCATGAAACCCACAAGACTAGTCGGAGGAGTTCTCTTCTAAGTCCTATATTATCTGCTATTATGGAGGTGGCTAAATGTGTACCTAGATACAAATGTTAATGGAAAATATGATTCTATTTTCAATAACGAGAAGGCAACAATAAAAATTCTAGATTCAGTAACAGTTAACTCCAAATTTGTGCTAGATTCTAGCAGACTTCTTATGGAGATGGCTGAACAGAACATATTCTCGCTCTTTTGGGTTACTGAGTTGTATAGAAAAGCTTTCGAATCAAGGGTCGGCCAAATAGATACTCAGTAATAAGGCTATACTAACCAGTCATCAGCTTGTCATAAATGCAAGTAGACTTAATGCAAACGAGACTGGAAACAGCCACATTCCAGAGAGAGAGAGAACATTTCTAGCACTATAGTACTCTTAGAAGGCTCTTGTCTTATGGAAAATATGCTTAAGAGTATTCAGAAAGTATAGCAGAAGCTGCAAGAATAATAAGAAGGAAATAAATTCTCATCTACTAGATTATTATGCCACTTTTCTGGGTGGTTTACTAGAGGTGGTTTACTAGAGAATCCAGTTGAGTGATCGCCATGGCTCGAAAGAGACATTGTTCTCTTGAAAAGTGTGCCCTCATTTTTCTCCCGCCACTTGACGACGAAATAAATATGTTTGCCGTTTTCCCCCCTCGATCACAGGCATAAAATAACAATTGTACAGATAACACATCAGCTCCATACTAGTTAAATACTAGTTCATTTTTGCACACTGCATTACCACTATGTGGAAATGAAAAATAACCATGAGAAGTAAGTCCTAAATAAACATTTGTCAGCCTTTAATAGCCTAAAAGCAATAGACTATCGCGAATATGAGATGGCAGTGTCGAAAGTTAAATGGTTGGAGTCCTCTCTACGAGAGCATCTTAAGATTTATTTCTCAGAGTATTTGCCGCTCAGCAAAGAACTTCTATAACTCAGTGCTTTTCTAATACAAAAATATTTTCTCAAAAATATTCTGCTTTTAAAACAATTTTCTGCTGCGACTATAGACCGTAAGTCCTTCCATCTTTGCTAGCAAACTTCCTCTGAATTATCAGTCAACAAATATTCATACATACACTCATTCATTCATTTATAGCGCAGAAGCCCAGAAGCCCAGAATTATATGCTTAAAAAGTTAACCAAATTTGATATTCCACAAATTCGCCATTTTTGTGAAATAAATCTTCATATTTAATATGCACGACCCAAATGCGCCTGTCACTGCTTTGATAATAAAATTCTTCGGAAGTTATGCATAAGAAACAAAGAATTTAGTACATTTCCCGCTCTCTGTTATATTCGCTGCTATTTATGTGTATGTGTGTCTCTGTAATATTCGTATGTTTTATTTGGCGTTTGTCGGTTGCCGGATTTCCGTATTTAATTAATTCCCTCGTTGCCACAGGCATTTGCCGCAACTCTTCTTCTTACTGCAGTCTTCTTTTGAATAACTTCGTTGTGTGTTTGTCGTTTGCTTTTCGTTTCTTACTGCTTTTTTCTGCGGTCTTATGTTACTCTTAAGTTGGCAGCGTTAACTTGTAATTTTACTTTGGTCGCTCTTAGAGTTTTTAGCCTATTTAATTCATCAAATATCACGTTGCTTGCACATTAGTGCCATTGGTGTGTGGCTTTCTGTCAACATTTGGTGGCGTGTCTTAGAGGCATTAAGAAGACCGTTGAAGCAATAGCGGAGATATTTTCTTGGCAAAATGCATTCTTTGTAGGAAAAAATTGAAAAATATTTTTTTAAAAAATTACTTAAAATAAAAAAATAGTTTAAAAATTTAATAAATACTCATAAAAGGTTCGTGGAAGCAGCGTTCATATTTTTATCAACTTTAACAACTCAATTCTCTACTTGTCCTGGAGTTCTCATGAAGATTTTGCCTTCAAAAACTAGTAGTAAAATTCTTCAAACATTAGAACATATTTTTTTAAACTTTGTTCGAGAGTCAAAACGATCGCTGCCGGTCAATTCTAAGAAGTTTCAAAAAAGCTCTACGAAAGTGTCAGTAAACAAAAAATGTTGCATATTTCTTGGCGATTTTTTGTTTTGATTTTCTGTGAACTATCGAGATTTTGCCGAAGATAACTCCTGCTAGAATTCACCGAGAAATAAGTTGCATATAAAGGTTGAGAAGACGCTTAGTAAAAATCTTTGAGTAAACCTTTTCTAGAACATTTGTACTCCCTCTTACGGCATTTCAGACATGTTTGTTGAGCGAATTCGTGAGTTAAGTGCCAAAAAAAACCATTTTGGGTGCCAGCTAAAGGCATAAAATGTTATAAGAAATGAAATTTGTTATTTAACTCTTAACTTAAACAGTTTTCTCCAACATTTTAGCCTTCTAGCGGGCTCTCAGAGCTTTTTTTAGAAGATTCTTAGAGTAAGTATCAAAGAGAACCTTATAGGAGACAGTTATAGATAGTCTTTAGACTCAAATATATATTTTAATATTTTCCACCACTTTTCTAAAAGCGCATAAGCTATGGAAAACTCCGATTAAATGAGCTTTCACTGAATTTCTGTAACATATGGGTATTTTTGTGAAAGCTTTCATACCAAGCTTTCACTTAACTTACTCAGCATATAGGTTACTATGCATATATTACGAAAACTATGACTAAATTAGCTTTCATTTTATTTCTATGGCATAAGTGATTTTATAAAAAATTCAATTGAAATAAATATGAATAAAGGAGCTTTCACTTACTTCATGTAGCATATATAGTTAAGAGAAAGCTTTTATCATAAATATTATTACTAAATTAGATGTGTGTTCAAATTTCGTACGAAAGCTTTTATCATCTAAATTATGTATGAAAAAGCTTTCATTTACCTATTATTTGTACAAGAGAGCCCAAAAGTATATAACATTACTATGAAAGTTTTAAAGGCTTTTTACAAATGGATCTTAACTCCCATTTCTGTTTCATATTAATCTAAATGGGGTTTGTCAATGAAGCCAGTTCCTCATTTTTACTTAAAATTTCCCTCTATGAAAGCTATTTTCATTGTGAAAAAAGCTTTCAATGAGCTAATGTAGAGAGCGCAACAAAATTAGAGAAAACCAATGGACGAGTGTAAGCCTGTTGCCCTTTCCAACAGATATCAGCACTAAAAGGGTTGAATGTAGAAGAAGAAGAACTTCTTTAACTCCTTTGCTGTAGTAAAATGTGTTAATCAGAGCTTTCGTTAACAGCTAAGGTAATTGAAAATTGCCAGACGGATGCTCAATCTTAGCGAGACCCATGCATCTTTTGTGGATAGTCTGCAAGAAAAGATACGATTCGCCAACTGGAGTGCTACTGGTTAACAGTTCCACGTTAATTGCCTCGTCTTCGTCTTCCCTCAATTTTATGGAATTTTTATATGCATTTGTCTGTTTACTCACTTATTATTATTCAACTCATGATTGCTTTTCTAATTTTCCACTGTCGGCTACTCTCATTTCAGAATTGGCAGGCCGTTGTCAACTCATCACTCGCCTCACTACTCCTCCTGGGCGTCTCGACCACAATCGCCATTGCGTTGGTGGTGAATTCCGAGTTGGTGCCGAAAAAAATGTTGCATATCAATAAAATGTCAGCGACAGCAGCCACAAGTGTGCGCGCAATGGCAATAAGAAATGAGCAAAAGCAACAACAAAAACAGCAACAAACACAACTGAACGCTACAAGTGGCAATGACAATGGCAACGGCGCGACGGTGACGGTGACGCCGACCGCAACAATCATCGATGCAACCAGTCTGAGTGCCACCACGAACATTACGCAAATCAGCAGCAGCGCTATCAGCAGCAACAACAGTGGCAGCGAAGGCATCAGTCTCAGCTTGGGTATTAATGGCAGCAATGACAATAGCATTGCCAGCGAGTGTGGAGTTGCAACGCCGGCACAACAGCGCCGTTTGGGCGGTGGTGCAGCGGCAGTCACGGCCGCACATGCCGTTGGACGCGTGCAAGAGCTCTACTTTCCGGTGAGTGTGCGCGCGGTTATAGGCATAAGTTGGCTGCCGCCACTACTCTATGCCATGGCAGTGCCATTGATATGTAGCATTATTGGCAAATGGCCACGCAATTGGTGGCTGGAAGTGATGAGCAACACAACAACAGCCACCGCAGGAAGAACGATAACAACATCAGTCTTAACTTCAGCAACATACGGCACGTCCGGCTTGTCGCATGCACTTGGCGGCGGTGGGGGCGGAAGTGATTACTTAGCAGCGCATGTAGCCGCCTCACCGCAACCCGCACCGTCTTGGAGTCTGAAGGTTGAGCCGCGTCAGGAGAACAACACAACCCTAGCTGTAAGCGGCAGTGACTTGTTTAGTAGTAGTACAACAACAAGCGAGAGCATATTATATATCGAAGATGGCACAGCTGCAGCGCATACAGCTGTAGCCAACACCAGCTCGGCTCTACACTTTACAACATCCTCCGCTGCATCTTCCATCGCCAGCGCCTCAACGTCCACGGATGCCTCGCCATCAACGACGACCTTCTCCGTTGCCGGTTGGCATAACAACTTCCAACCGGCATCCATCTCCGCTTCCGCTACCGCTGCTGCCTACCGTAGCGGTAGTGAGTTCGACGACGACGCGTACACGGACACAGTGGATGGCGCGGAGACACACAGTGGGGGCGGCGGTAGCGTGCCATCACTCAATTTTATTATATTTATTTGTGTCGATTTACTCTTCGTCTTGCTCTTTTGTGCACTCTTCGCTATTTTAATCAAGAAACTTTTATGGCTGTGGCATAAAAATCGAAATATTCACGCGCATCCGCAGGATAAATTCAATGTGGCCATGCGTAGACGGTAAGTTAGTTGTATATATAGTATAGTGTGTGTGTGTGTTTGGTTGTAATTTTCTTCAAGCACTTGGGGACAACGACAGGCGAAGTTTCTAGACTTTTCTATTTTTCTCTATTTTACTTTTATTTGATTGATTGCGCGAAGTTGAAAAATTTTCCATTTCAACTTATTGGCTTTTGTTGTATGGTTAAGGTTTCTTTTCTTTTATTCTCCAAAGCAAAAAATGCTTATAATTTAGTTTTACATTGAGAAGGAGTGCTTTTGAGAGACTTTTGAGAAAGCTCAGCGCTCTAGTGGAGGAATCAGAAACTCGATTATTGCCAGATAATCTTTCTCCCAATCCTAAAATCGAAACGAGAACTTTGATAATCTGATGATAAGTCTTCTGAAGATCCCACATAGACAAATTGAGATAGTTTTGAATAAAGTTCTGTTTCTATTGGCTCCCTCAAACACACTACAGCAGTGGAGGTCCTTGCAGAAGTGATTGTTCTCACTACGCTGAGCTGTCTCGAGCTCCATCTGCCCAAAGAACTTTATTTTAATAGAGAACTGCGTACTTTAACCATTCTGACAGCAGCACTACTCCATTATGATGTTCTGGAAGTTATAGAGATTCGTATTATACCTCAGAGGCTAATAAATGCCACTCACTAGACAATTGCCAGCTACATATTCAGTGACCTCCACAAAACTTCATTAAAAATAGGCTTAACATTGGACTTCCTTTTTTGGTATGGAGATGGTAACCCTGAAGCATTTAAACCCAGTCTCATTCCAGTCTCATTGTTACCAAGTAATTCCCATTTTGGAGCAAGTCCAGGCAGGCGACCATCTTCATTAAAGATTTCCGGTATCAAAACACTTACCGACAAAGAAAAGGAGTCCGACAGCCTTTTCTTATGAGGTCTACGCTTGCTTTGTAACCACGGACTTCCTGAATGGGTCCAGAGAAATGATATACAGACTTAAAGCGAACACAATGGAGCTTTGGCTATTTGAAAGACATCTTCAGAGTGCATCCTTGCTTCTACAGTATTTTAGCTTTTTTCCTACGCAACCAACATTCTTTTAGTACGGCTTAAATTTTTTATCAGTTTAAGATCAATTTGAAACTAATTTAAAAATATTTTTGCTGTAAAGTAGATTTGTTTCTGGCAGCAAATACAGAATTGAAATACAAACTGAAAGAAAATTTATTAAATTTTTATTTCAAAACAAAGTAAGCATAAAATTATTCGCTTTAGAGTATTGAAATATTATTTATACAACTCAAAAAGTCCCCCCGAATTGGCCAAAATTATATTGGATTATTTGAGAAAAAAATATATATATAATATATATATATTTATAAATATGAAAGTCATTATTCTCACAATGAAATATTAAGTAATCAAATAATTACTGTTTGAATTTGTCAAATAATATCTTTAAATAATTTTTTTTTTAGAAAAAAATATTGCTAATTTACATATGCAACATAATGACCCCAAAAGCTACTATCTCAATGAACTCGCTTGCCATTAGCTAACTAGCTGGTAAACCTCGAAAGGCAGTAATCAAGTTATATGATACCACACATTACTAAATTATAGACCAATAAATACCTTCCGTGCTAACTACTGACCATAAACTAAGTTTATTTACTGAAATATATAAATTTATATTGATATTGCACATACATACTTACATGCAAATATATAATTCTACCATACACTGGCAGCTCAAACTCAAACGAAATTAATTTAATTGCACAGCTTTGTTGGTTTAATCGCTACAAAGTATAATATATATTTTTAGTTAATTATACATATTTATGTTATTTATAATCATTCCATAACTATTTACTTTGACTATTTTATTTACTTGCTTTTATATATTGTATATATACACGTATATGTACGTGTAATGGTTTTGTATACTTCATATTTTGGTTTCTGATTTCAGTATTGGCCTAATTTATCGCACCGGTTGTTTGCTGTTAATGAAATTATCAACGGATGCATTATTCATAGCATATGTAAATTTAACAACAACAACAACAACAACAACAATACAAAATTCATGGTGGTCCTATCCGTTTGGCATATCTTGTATATTATTGGTAAGTACAAACAAATGAGCATGAGAATGTGCAAGTGTGTGTGGCTGAGCTTGTAAATAGATTGCAAATTAACACACACACACAAACATACACACACTAACAAAGTTTTGTTTTTACATATACATATATTTATATGCTTCTACAATCAAATTGCATATGCATACCTACATATATATACTATAAATGTGTATGTTTACATATATCTATGTGGCAAAGCATATTTTTCCAGCTGCAAAGAAAATTCTACAAAATTTCTATTTGAATTTTAAACATTTACATGGAATTGCAAAAACACATACTTATGTATGCGCGTGTTTGCTGAATTCATCTCGGCATACAGAGACAATGAAATACCACACATCCATACATGACAATGTTCTAACAATAAATGTTACGTATACGCCCAGCTGTTCACTGCACTGTCACAGAGTGTATTTCTATTTAATTGGAATTTGCATGCAAATTAAATCAATTCACCGCAAATATGTCGTTAAATGATTGCTAAATTTAGCAGAAACTGAAAATAGATAATAGGAAAAATTTTACTTTCAAAGAGAAGTACTAAGAAATCATAATGAGAAAAATGTGAAAATAAAATAAAATCTAAAAATTAATGAAATAAAGTTTAACGCAAATATAAACACTTAAATATATTGAAATAAAATATAATAAAACTAAAAAAATATACCAAAATTATGAAGCTAAATAAGAAAAAGCAAAATTAAAGAAATAGAAAAATTAAAAAAAAAACAAAATAAAATTAAACAAATAAATATCAAGTTAAATTAAATTAAAATAAAATAACAACAAATAAAATGAAATAAAACAAAATAAAAATAAATGAAATAAAGTAAATTATTGTTAAATTATAAAAAAAAAATAAAATGAAACAATATAAAGTAAAATAAAGAATTAAGTAAAATATGATAAAAAATCAAATAATTATCTAAAATTTAATAAAATTAAAATAATTAAATTAAAATGAAGTAACTAAAATGAAATTAGGCTTAATAAATAAAATAAAATAAGGTAATTAAAAATAAAAGAAATAAAAAAAGTAAAATGAAAAAAAAATAAAACAAAACAAAATAAAATAAAATAACATAAATTAAAATAAAATAAAATAAACTAAAATAAAATAAAATAAAATAAAATAAAATAAAATAAAATAAAATAAAATAAAACAAAATAAAATAAAATAAAATAAAATAAAATGAAATAAAATAAAATAAAATAAAGTAATATAAAATAGAATAAAATAAAATAAAATAAAACAAACTAAAATAAATTAATTTAATATTAACAATAAAACAAAAATTAAAATAAATAAAATAAAGTAAAATAAAATTAAGAACTAAAATAAATAAGTTACGATAAAATAAAATAAATGAATTAAAATTAATTTATTGTAAAATAAATAACATTGATTAAAAGTGATTAAAACAAAATAAATCAAAATTAAATTTAATTAAATTAAAATACTTAACGTAACGTAACTTAAAATGAAATAAAATAAAGTAATATAAAAACCAATAAAATAAATGAACATTAAATTAAAAAAAAATAAGTAAATAACTAAAAATTAAAGCAAAATAAAATGTCATAAACTAAAATAAAATAAAATAAAATAAAAAAAGAAAAGGAATAAAATACGACAAAATAAAATAAATTAAAAAAAAAGTTAAATTAAATTTAGCTAAATTGAATAAAATAAAATAGAATACAATCCAAAAAATAAAGTTTAATAAAAAAATATAAATTAAAATGAAATGTAATAAAATAAAGAAAACACAAAATAAATTTACGTATATAATAATGGCCTTAAGCAATATTCAACATTTTCTGCTATGTTAAATTTTCAATGTGTTCTTTTTCTACCAATTATACTCCCTTTCAAACATTTTTTATGTTCTTAAGAAAAATGTTTTAATGTTCTTTAAAGCGAGAAAAAATCTTATTTTCCTTTATATAACTTTTTTCGCCCTCTTACACGCCAGCAGTGTCCCTTACACACTGACCTCTTGCCTTTGCGCGCAAATTGCACATAACTGCGGGCAAGTGATAAGCGTTAACTGCAACTAAATAAAAATTGCAAACTGAATGCTGCACAACAAATTAGAAGCGTAAGCAAAAACAAAAACACAAATAAAAAGAAAATAAAAATTAAATGTTAAAAGTTGAAACGAAATAAAAAGAGTAGTAAAATATACCCACGTACACATGTGCGACTGTCGCCAGTTGCTGCTCGTATTTAAGTGAGCGTGTGTTATATAATTATGCAGTAAAAGTAATTAAAAACAGGGAGCGGCGACATAGCAGCGACACAAAAAGTATATAAACATAAACGGTGGCAGAAATTAAAAGGAAAAACAGATATGAAGAAAGTTAAAAGTATAAGCAACAAATACGCACACACATACACATACATACATAAATGAAAAACTTGTAAAAAATAAAATTTAATTGAAAGCAAGCGAAAACAAAAAAACACACACCGCAAGCGCTTAAATGGTAGTGGAACAGTAGGCAAAAAAGAAACGTGTTTAAAAGAGAAAGTGCAAAAAATGTGAAAAAGTCACGTGTGAGAAAACGAGCAAAACTGCTGCATAATTACAGGCGTGTCTGCTGGCTAAGGGCATACGCACGCCCGCACATGCACATACATGCGGATAGGCACACAACAAACAGATGCCAACTGACAAAGACTGTAAGCGGCCGAAGTTGAAAAAAAATTTCAACAAAGAATATAAAAGTATCTACAAATTTGTGTTTAGATACCGCGAGCAGCCGCGCGCATTAAAACACACGTGTACTGTTAGCCACAATTCTTCGGCTGGGTGTGCGTGTATGTGAAAACGCATGTGTTGGCTCTTTAAAATCACACACACGGCCATAATACATTGTTTTTTTTTTTTGATATTTTTTTTCTTTTTGTAGCTGCGTGTGCTTTCTATGCCTGGGCGTGACATTAAATTGACGACAATTTAACGCAGTTCGCAATTTCGCACAGACACTTGAAAAGCGTGCGACCAGCCGTGCAAAAAAAAGCACACACACACACATGCGCAGCACATGCAGTATACCCCAAAAATTAAATGAAAATATAAAAGAAAATTGACAAAAAAATATGGAAAATTAAAAAACAAAAAATTAAATAATTTCTGTTAAAATTTATTAAATAATTAAAACTAAATTTAATAATGATTAATTGAACAAAAAAATGAATTGAAATAATTAAAATAAAATTAAATTAAAAAAATAAAATATAATAAGAAACACTTAAACAAAATTAAATAAAAAAAAAATAAATTAATAAAAATCACTTAAACAAAATTAAATAAATAAAAATAAATTAAATAAAAATCAGAAATAAATTAAGCTAACTTTAAGCTTAGCAAATTAAAACTAAAATAAATAGCATAAATCGATCAAAAATAAAACAAACAAAAATTATGAAAAATTATTTTAAACCAATATAACAATAATAAATTAATAAAAATTAAATTGAAAAAATAGAAAAGGATTAAACTTAATTAAGATATATTAAATAATAGAAATTTAAATCAAATAAGCTTAAATTAAATTAAAAAGAGTAAAATAAATTAAATTTAATAGACTAAACAAATTTAAATATAATAAAACAAAAAAATTAAACCATATAAAATTTGCTGCACTAAAAACAAATAAAAAATTGTAAAAACATATAAAAAACAAAAACTAATTTGAATTAAAATAAATAAATAAAAAGTATTGGAAATTAAGTTAAAAATATAAGTAAAACTAAATTATATTTATTTAAATTCAATTTAATTCATTAAACTCAATCTAATTCATTTATATTATGTAAAAGACAATTAAATAAATCTAAAAAATTTAAAGAAATAAATAAAATTTAAATAAATGAAATAAAGTGATAAATTAAATCTTACAAACATTACATTAAATAAAATAGCACAAAATATTTATAATTAGTAAAAATAATACTTAAATGAAGTAAAATAAAATAAAATAAATACAGAAAAAATTAAGTTAAAAATAATAGTAAAAATAAATTATATTCCATTATGAAAAACTAAAAAAAATAAAACAACAGAATAAAAAAAAAAAGCATAAAAATTCAAATTTAAAAAAAAATAAGTTAAATATATAAAAAAAAAAATTAAAAAAAAAATAATAAAAAACTAATAAAAACTAGAACTTAAGAGCAAAAAAATAAAATAAATTAAATGAGATAAAAAACAAAGATTTAAATTAAATTAAAATAAAAAATTAAATGGGAAATAAAATAAAATCGAATAAAGTAAAAAAAGAAAAAAATTAAAGACACAGAGAAAAAAAAAAAATAATAATACAAATCGATATAAAAAACAAAATTAAATAAAAATAACCAAAATGAAATTAAACAGAAAAAAAACCAAAAATATAATAAGTACAATAAAACAAAATAAACTAAAAAAAAACTAGTAAAAATTAAATTGTTCAGTATAATTTAAGTAAAATAAACTAAAAAACCTAGTGAAATTAAATTGTTTAGTAAAAGTTAAATTAAATAAATTAAAAAAACTTGTGAAATTAAATTTTTCAGAAAAATTTAAATTAAATAAAAAAAAATAGTGAAATTATTTTGTTCAGTATAATTTAATTTAATTTTACTAGTTTTTTTTCGTTTATTTAGTTTTATTATTATTACTTTATATTTTTTTTCTGTTTTATTTAAATTCAATTTAATTCATTTATATTATGTAAATGGGAATTAAATAAATTTAAAAAATTAAAAAGAAATAAAATTTAAATATAAGAAATAAAATGATAAATTAAAGCATATAAATAAAAAGAATAAAATAAAATAAAATGTGCTATATTAAATAAACTTAAGTAAAATTAAATAACACAATATATATTAAAATAAGATAAAATAAAATCCAACTATACATATTTAACTTAAACTAAATTCAAAATATTAAAATAAAGTTAAATGAAACAAATTAACATGAAAATAA